TAGTCGTCGTGGTAGTCGTCGTCGTCGTCGTCGTAGTCGTAGTCGTAGTCGTAGTGGTAGTGGTAGTGGTAGTGCTGGTAGTCGTAGTGGTTGTAGTAGTCGTAGTAGTAGTCGTCGTCGTCGTAGCAGTAGTACCCTTGTAGTAACCTTATCGTACCACCGGAACCCGAACCCCCCTTATGAAACCTAAAACCCGAGCAGTTCGCAACGCAGGCGGTCGCCCGGGCTCTGCAAGAAAACCGTGCAGTCACCGCCATCCAACGGGGCTTCCAGCACATTGGCACCGCTTCACAGGCCTTCTTTGGGTCCGAACGGTGTTGTTTATGCCTCTAAAGGGCTCTATCAAGGGTTCCTTTCAAGGGCTCTGTAAGGGTTCCCTAGGGGAAGGGATGATAAGGGTTCCGTATCAAGGTTCCATTAAAGGGATCTTCCAGGGTGATACGACGGTTTAGGGTTTGGGGTTTTTATGATTTAGGTGTTAATATAGCTGGGTCTTTATTAGGGCTCTTTACGTGGATCCTAAAACTTTGTGGTTATAGAGTTATAGGGCCAGGGTTTCTTTATCAGGTTCCTACATGACCAGGCTTCTACTTGGAGCTCTTTAAAGGCTCTGCGCGGGCTCTGTAAGGGCTCTATACCTTAACCCCCAAACCCTGCCTGAACTACATGATATAATTCCTGCAATACCTTAAGGACCCTAAACTACGGGAATTATCGGGATATTCCTTATTCTGGGGACCCTAAACTATGGGAACTGTGAGTATATATTCCTTATACGGATTACGTTCAGGTTTAAGGATGCCGGGCTTGAGGAGCAGAGGTTTCGGGTGTTCGGGCCGTGGTGATGCCTGAAAAAAGTCTTAGGGGCTGAGTAGGTAGCCTTTAGCTTTTTTGGGGGCTCGTCCTACGTGTTTTGGGGCTAGGGTACTCAGCCCCTAAGGAGTTGAAAGTTCGGCTCAGCCCCTAAGGAGTTGAAAGTTCGGCGTTCATTCAGCGGTTTCAGGCTTGAGTTTTGCAGCCGAGGCTTTGAACGGCACCTGAGATCTTGGGGGTCGGAGCCAGTTTGTGTGGTTTATTGACAAGTTGCGGCATTTAGAGTGAGAGGTTTAAGGTTTGGGAGGGCGAGGTTAGGGTCAAAGCTTTTGGTGTTGGGGTCCTACATTACCTAAATCCTAAACCTGAAGTCTACCAATCGCTATGCCCTAAACCCTAACACCTTACACCCGTAAAGCTCTATACCATTAACCTCTAGAGCCTTAAACTTCTAAACATAAACCCAAAACACACTTTAGCAAAGAGGGAAAGAACCTAAAAAGCACTAAACCCTAAATGCAAACCGCCCAAACCCTTAAAGCCCTCTACCTTAAACCCCTCAAACCCTAAACCTTTAAAGCCCTACAGACCCTAATCCCAAAAAGCCCTAAACCCAAAAACCCCGCTAAACCCGCTACACCCCTGAGCCCCCCGAAACCCTGAAACCCGGAGGTCGTAGGTTTGGAGCTTTGTGTGGCTTTGACTGCTTGCAGTCTCTGGCTTCGGACTTTTTCAGGGGTTTTGAGTACACTTAGGGTTTAGGGTTTTTGGGTTGTTGGGTTTAGGGGTTTAGGCTTAGGGTTTTGGGTTTAGGTTGGTCATTGGGGGGATACTTACGGTTTTGTGTGGATTTGGTTCGGAAGTTTGGTGCAAGTGACAGGTGATGTCGTATTTTCCTAGGCCCTATGCCAACATGGAGCCTCAAGTGGCCGGCCGCGGAAAGGGTGTGTCCCGATTGGTCTCCGTTTTGGTGGAAGAGAGGGTGGACCCTAAATCCCAAGAAACCCTGTGTGGACAGGTGTGTTCCCTCCCATGCTCCTGGTCCTTACCTTGGAGCTTAAAAATTGCTGTTCTCGGATCTGCCAAGCCCGGCCGTAACCTCTAGGCCCTATAAACCCCAAACCCCAAACCCCCTAAACCTTAACCCCATAAACCCTACAAGCCCCAAACGCTAGACCCCTAAACCCTTAACCCTATACACCCTATAAAACCCAAACCCTAAACCCCCTAAACCCGAAGCCCTATAAACCCTAAACCCTTAACCCTATAACCCTAAACCCTTAACCCTCAACCCCCTAAACCCGAAGCCCTATAAACCCTAAACCCTTAACCCTATAACCCTAAACCCTTAACCCTATAAACCCCGAACCCTTCACCCTCGAAACCCTAAACCCTAAACCCTACAAACACTAAACCCTAAACCCTATAAACCCTACAAACCCTCCCTATAAACCCTTAACCCTATAAACCCTAAACCCTAAACCCTAAACCCTATAAACTTTTAAACCCTACACCCTATCAACCCTTCAGATGCTCTGACGGCCCTGCGGATGCCTCCGGAGGCCTTGGCGGAGGCTCTCGAGGTCAACGTGTCGGTGACGAGTATCAACCTGCAGGAGTCGAGCCTTGAGGGCTTAGGGCTTAGAAGTTTAGGGTTTTTAGGGGTCTTAGGGGTTTAGGGTTTAGGGAGTTTTGGGTTTAGGGTTTTGGGTTTAGGGCTTCAGGGGTTTAGGGCTTTGGGGTTTTGGGGGTTTAAGGGAGTTTTTGGTTTAGGGGTTTAGGGTTTAGGGCTTTGGGGGTTTAGGGTTTTTTAAAGGCTTAGGAGTTTAGGGTTTCAGGGTATTAGGGTTTTAGGGTTTAGGGTTAGGGCTTTAGGGTTTTAGGGCTTTACGGTTTTAGGGTTTAGGGGTGGAGTGCTGGCGCTCCCGGCAAGCAGCTGATGAAATTCCGGTATGAACTGAAATTTGACTCACTGGTTTATCAAGATGGGTTTCGGGGGAGCGAGTTTCAACAGCATTGTTGCAAGTATGGGTCGTCGCGTAGCCGAATACAGACCTTGTGGGGAGTTTTTGAAGTTTGACAAGGGCTTGGCAGGACTGTTTCGAAGCTGCCCTTTCTTACAGCATTGCCGACAAATCCTACAACGAACATACAGGGTCCTCAGTCTGGGCACTACGTCACTACATTACATTGACTAGAATTAGGATTGATTTCTAAACCCTATAAACCCTAAACCCCTAAGCCCTAAACCCTAAGAACCTTAAACCAATCCTAAACCCTAAACACCCTAAACCCCAAACCCCGGGGTGTTCTATTGGCATGCTACCAGCGTTGCTAGAGCCTTCAACTCCAGAGTCTGAGCCCTACACCCGAAGCCGTGTGTAGAAAACTTACTGGGTTCAGGTTTTATGGATTTACGATTTAGGGTTTTGGGTTTAGGGTTTAGGATTTCGGGTTTAGGGTTTAGGGTTCTACGCCATGAGTTTTGCGATTCAAACAAGCCCGCAACCCCAATCTCTACCTAGACTCCCCAACTACCCTTTAGCGTAGCCTCGAATTATCTCTTTATAGTGAATATACTTCTTTCGGGCATACCGGTGAATTCAGGCAAAAAAAACCCTGAACCCTTTCCTCCAGCCCTCAGCCCCAAAAGGAGGGTACGATCGGCGACGCGGGCTGCAAGGCCTCCCGTGATTTTGCTGCATCAAATGCATGCCGACTTAGGCGATTGGGTTTGGCCAGCATGCCAGGACTTTTGATTTGGGGCTTTAGTGCTTTGGTAGTTTGGTCTCTTTCGGTCCCCGGCGGTCGCGTTACATCGACAGCCATAGGCCATAGGCAGACAGTAGTATCAAAGTGAACACAAAAGAACCCCGGAGCCAAACAACTGGTTGTGCCCTCCATCAGCCCTATACAACTGTGCAAAGTCTCTCTCTCTCTCTCTCTCTTGCTCTCTTGTCTCTGCATGTGTATGCAGTATGCATTATCAAGGTCAAGGGTATGCTTTGGGCTCTCTGGGAGATAAGACCGCTTTGCACCCTTCACAGCGCCGGGCCCGAGCATACCTCGCAAACGTGAGAGTTTTTCCAAAGCGACGCCATGGCCGCAGTGTCCGTGACGAACGACTTGCACGCCCCTCTCGAAGTGAAACTTCAGAGTGGAGCATGGCAGGTCATTTACCCCAGGAGGTCCTGCGATGTCGAAGCGTCCGGGGAGGCATCGGTGATCTTCGTAGAAGTTCGATTGCGAGAAAGCCTGGAAATGAAGGGCGGCTGCCATGCTGCGGGAGGCAACTCGTTGCGGGCCTCTCTGGACTTCGGAGCCTTTTCCCAACAGTGCAAAGGCCGCGATCGATCCGAGGCCCGAGAGCTGGCCCGTGAAGGCAAGCGAAGGCGGGAAGCGCAGAAGAGGACGGAAGCGATGATGCAGGAGGCCGTCACTGAGAAATGGAACCAAGTCGACAATGCTGTAGATCTCGGGAAGAACCTTGGGCTCCCGGTAGTCCTCCTCGCTATTTGCGCTGCCATCCCACCCGAGAACGGTGTTGCAGCCGCACTGCTGGCCATTTGCACCGTGCCACTGTCCGGCTGGATCGGCATGTCGTCGACATTCGGAACTGGAAATATTGACGCTCACCGCAAGCTTGGAAAATATGAGTCCCGCTGCCGTGTTGGTGTGCGGCTACTGTGCCTCCTCGCTGTGTTGTCGCTAGCAGCCGTGACGGCCCAGCACGTCCAGCAAGGGTACTGGTGGACCGCTTTTATCGTTTGGCCTGTGGCCGTTTGCGAAGGCATGTGGTTCTGCATCAATTTATGTCTTGACCTTGGTCGCGGTCCTTTTGAAGAATACGATGATTACGGGCTCACTTATTGGGAGCGCATAGAAGTCAGCCGCGAAGTCAGTAGTCGAAGCATCCGCTTCGACGGGAGCGTCATCCGGGAACGGGGCCGGCCGTGTGTGGTGAGCTGGCCTGGAAAGTATGAGGGCGCGTGGGAAAGCCTCGTGTCGCAAGGCCGGAACGGCCAGGTCAGCGCAGCCGTCGTCTTCCTCCCTGAAGGCACGGAAGACTATGGCAAGTGCGACAGCATCCTACTGTCTGAAGGCTGGCCCGGCACCTGCTGGTGCACGCCCCTCTACGGTGAACAGAAGCCGTGGGGGTGTAGGTGGTTCACTAAGTGGAGGGAGAACATCGAGACGGCAGTGGAGTCTGGAGCAGAGCTGGAAGTTTACTACTTCCCGAACCTCGTTGGCAAAGGCAAGGTGGAGAGCTTCGACACAGCAGGGGCCGACAACCTCCAAAGGGAGGAAATTAATAAGAAACAAAAGGACTTCGAGAAGTCTCCTGAGTTCAAGCAGGCGCTGGGCGCAGGTCTCGGCAACCTCTCCAAGGAGCTGCGTGGCGACGGATCCTCCCAGTACAGCCGTGAAGCTCGGCGCCTGTTTCTCGCTTCCCTCTCGGAGACAGAGCGCGAGTTTATGGCAGCCTCGGAGGGCCTCGGCAACTCCCAGAAAGCCGAGGTCGCCTGGCTACAAAAGAAGGGCTATGCGTACTGGGAGGTAGACATCTCCACGTGGCTCCCGGGAGAGGGAGTTGAGAGATACGTCCCAGCATCTGCCGAACAGCAACGCATCGCCAAAGGATAGGGTATAGCTCCCAAAAAGACACTTGCATCTTGCAGCACTCAGGTCATTGCAATCTACAAACCGTATGTCTCCGAAGTGCCAGGTGCCACAGGGGTGTGTGTGTGTGTGCATATATATATATATAATATATATATATAGATAGATGAATATACACACACACACATATATATATATGCATACTCATGCTTGTTTGTTGCGTCTTCACGGCACCGGTCTTGTCTGATTTGTGTAGTCGTGACATTGCCAAGCATGTCCCAGGCTACACCCTCAACCACTGCAGGGATCTCAAAGAGACTTACACTGAGGAGCAGCGTCTTGCGGTGGAATTGAGACCGTGGTGGATGCCAAAGGGCCATGCACCCTAAACCCTAAACCCTACAGGCCTACAGGCCATGCACCCCGGATCGCATCTTTGCTTGGCGACTCAGTCCCTCGCGCGCTCGCGCTTTCAGTCGTGACACTGCCCGATCTTACTTGCGAGTATAAGACTTGAGCACAACAAGTTATGAGTTTTGCTCTAAACCCTAAACCCCGTATGTTGTGCTCATTGTTACGATTGCAGCGCATGCCGAAGGGCCGCAGTCCACAAATCCTAGCTTCTTCGTCTTGGAGCACTGGCAATTGCTGAGATGTGGTTTGACATCGGCATGTCCGGTGTTTCTGCAGACTTACAGTGCCCATCAAAACAAGGCATGTGGAGTCCGACAAACTCAGTTGTTTCGGGGTTTAGGTTTGCGGTGGCGTTAGGATTTGGTTGATTCACCAATGTCACTCTCGATGGTCCCACTCAGGCCATTTGATTACACTTTGCAAACCGAGTGTTGTGCGGAACTTGCGACATCTTGCGACTGCGGTGCATGCCGAAGGGCCAAATGCCGGGTAGAGCTGTTCGCTTGTATTGCTGTTTCACAGCATCAGTTAGGGCCGATGTGTGCAACCCTACCGGAGTTTGTATGCAGCTGTGGATGTCCTAAACCCTAAACACTAAACCGTAACCCCTAAACCCTAAAAAAGGATGTCCGGCAGCATGACGATTTACCAACCTGAATTTGGATCGCCACAAAGCAGAGAATAGAAGAGCACGCAGCTCCCAGGTCATCAGAATTATACTTGTGTATTTGTTGCGGCTTCAAAGCACCGATCTTGGCTGGAGTCTTTGCAAACCTGCGGATTCAGATCCAAACGCGGCACGATCAGCGTAGCAAGAACCTGTGCCGATGGCCTTGTGATTCAGGTTTAGGAGTAAGGCTGAGCAAGGTGCACAAGTTTCGGGATCCGAGGAGGCAGCAGGATCGCGCAGCCTCATTCTACACTAGAGTGGTCCTTTCATGCTACTGCGGCGCTATAATGTCATTACATCATTACCTTTTGCTGCGGGGTGTTTACATGCTTTTCGATTATGCCCAGAACCCTAAACCCCTGAAACCCCTAAACCCCTAAACCCGCAACCCTAAAACCCCTCTCCAAGACCCTAAAGCCCCCGCCAAAAGAAGCTGCCGAGAAGTCAGACCTGGAAGGCCCTGGCGGATGCGCTGAAAGTTAACGCAACTGTTTCCTCGAGCCTTGGAAGCGTTGCCGAGGGTTTCCTTGGCATTCTTCTGGTTGGCTCTTAGGGCTTTGGCTTTTTGGGCTTCTATATGAAGTAGTAATGCAAAAAGTTTAGCGTTTAGGAGGGGTTCAGAAGTCAGCCAAGTTACTGTAAGGGTCTAATGTAGGGCCTTGATAATTCGAACGGGGTTCCTTAACGGTTCAATTACGCGGGGGGCGGGGGGGGGGGGTCAAGTAGATTCTGGGTGGCTTGTTAAAACCCGTTCCGCCGCTCCGCCTTTCTTTCAGTTGCATGTCATCGTTTTCCATTGTCTCCCAGATTCAAGATATGTCAGACAGCCAAACCATAAAGCCTCACATCCCGCCTACCCCTGAACCCTAAACCCTATCTCCCTTCAATGCCACTGGGGTGTGCTGGGGGATTAAGCAACCTCCTTCACCAGAACTCGGAGAGGACTGGGCCCTCATACCAGGGTCGAAGCACTCAGCAAAATTACCCTTTATCGTACGTATATGTAGGTATATTGTATTATACCCTAAACCCTTGCTCTAATATATATATATATACATATACATACACACACATACATACATACTTACATGCGTACATACATACACACACATACGTAAACATACTGTTTTCCACTCCCAAAACCTCTTTGTCACCTAAGTTCTCAAGACCCCGATCTTCAACCCCTCGTGCCGGGGCAACCTCAAGTCAATTCCCTAGCAAGATGAGTACGTAGTTCTCTAGACTAGGGTCCCAGTTAGGGCAGTTCTCTAAAGTAGGGTCCCTTTTAGGGTTCTTTTTGTAAGGGTTTAGGGTTTAGGGTCATATTATGAGTAGTTCTCTAAACTAGGCTCCCTTTTTGGGTCCTTTTTGATAAGGGTGCCGTACTGGTACTATTTGGGGGACCCGAAAAGGAAGCCTAAATCAGAGAACTGCCCAAATTCTGTGCTCTTCTTCCGGTTTGGGGTTTAGGCTGTAGGCTTTAGGCCTGGGATCGACTCTTCTGGGTTCTTCCTAGGCAACTGCTTGTGTAAGTTACCGTAACTTAGGATCATTGACGGGTTCTACCAGGATTCTAGGGCTTAGGGTTAAGGACTTAAGTGTACAAGTTGCCGCAAAAAGGAAGCCCCTTATTTACGATGGATCCTTATTATGGTAATCTTAGATCCCTAAACCCTAAATTTTAAACCCCTATAAACCAAAACCCAGTATTGGGGGCGTTAGCCCCTGATTTCATGCGTCGCGCAAGCTCGACGTCTTTGGGAACCTGTGAGCAGAGACTCAACTAGTAGCCATGGTTTAGGGTTATGATTGAAGGTTTGGGGCTTAGGGTGCTTATTTAAGGTTTAGGGGTTTAGGGTTATTATTTAAGGTCTGGGGTTTAGGGTTTTTATTTAAGGTTTATGGGTTTAGGGTTATTATTCAAGGTTTAGGGGTGTAGGGTTTAGGGCTACCCATGCTTGATCGAAGAATGTAAACGGGCCTTGACGGGGCTGAGTTGGGCAGCGTAGACTGTGAGCTCATGGAGTTCCTGGACTACACCCTCAACCTACAGGCCTCAAATCGAAACCCCCCTAAACTAAAGGGGTCTTGGTTGAACCTTGCAGCCCGACAGACGTGGCACTAAGGATCAATTTGGCACGAAATGACATCGGCGACGATGGGGCCAAGGCGGGTTGTGCGGAGGTTTTGCCTCGGGAGAATCCACAGAGCCCAGTACTGCTTCATGAGGGGATAAACCTCACTGGAACTCGACCTAAACCCTAACCCTAAACCCTAAACCTAGAGATTCCGACCATCAACTCAGGGCACGTTCCTGGATTAAGGGTCAAAAAGGGGGCTCTTTGAGAAGACAACAGAGATTCCTTTCATGCTTCGCTGCGTTGTCTCCATGGAGATCTCCCTGGTGCAAGTTAGCCGTCCACATCTCTTCAGCCTGCAAAGTTGAGATTTTAGGGATGAACCCTAAGCCCTAAAGGGCTTTTCTCCGTGGTGACGGCTTCGGATGGCTTTCGGGCTTTGGGCGCGAGGCTTGAGGGGCTCTTGCCATAAACCTGAGGTAACCTGAGTCCAAAAGTCCTCTTTGAAGCCCAAATCTCAAAGCCCCTCGGGACCCTAAAGCCCTAAGCCCTCAGCCCTCAGCTGCAGAGTCGAAGATGCAGTGGACTGTAGCAACAGGGAAACGCTGAGTTAGAATCTCTGAGTTCCTTGAAAGCGCTCTAAACTCTACATGTGGGTTCTTCGTGAACCTACTCGAACAGCGCGCCACTGCAAATAGACATTGACCCTCAACCCGGAGAGTCCTGAACCTCCCTCCCCCCTCACCCGCCGTAAGCTGTCGCAAACACAAAAACGGAAACAACTCCCAGACTCGAGACCAAAACCCCTTTGACTCCAAGCCCTCAAGAGGGATCTAGTAGGGTTTCTATAAGGGCGTGCCGTCTTCTGTTGGGTTCCTGAAAAGGGACCCTTTAATTTAGAGAACTACCCAGCATATATGCAACCTTTCATAGCTAGGTGTTTGTTGGTCGGTTAGGGTTTGGGCTTTGGGGGTTTAGGGTTAAAGTTTAGGGGCTTGGGCCACCGAAACCTAAACACGTGTAACGCCCCGTCACCAGTAGCCAACACCCTTCATTAAGAACCCCATAAATTATAAACACCCTATGAAGCCCTCTACCCTACAAAGACCTTATAAAAACCAACCCTAAACCCTAAACCCGAAGCCCCTAAACCCTAAACCCGAAGCCCCTAAGCCCTAAACCCTCAACCCTAAACCCGAAGCCCCTAAACCCTAAACCTTCCTCCACCTGCAGAGAGAACAAGGAGCTCGCGGAAGCCTTGAAGATCAATCGCTCGGTGACCGAACTCTCGTTGACTCGCAACAACATTGGCGACGAAGGAGCCCAGGCACATTAGGGTTTAGGGTTTAGGGGTTTAGGGTTTAAGCACATACTTTGCCCTTAGGCTCTAAGGACTCATGTTTTAAGGCTTTTGGACCCAAAGACCATACCTGTTTAAGGGTTTTGGGCTATTTTGAGCTTGAGGGTTGGGCATTCTACAACGAACTTCGGGCGCCTGATTCATTATTTGGGGTTTAGCGCTTGGGTTCTGCAATGCCTGCAAGGATTGGAGAAGGGCTTGTAGCAGAATGTGGATTTCCCACTACTTGGGGGAGGATCCTCCTTTACTAAGTTTACTAAACCCTACCTGTAGCCCCAAACCCTGCAACACAGTAGGTGATAACCCCTGAATGCCCTAAACCCTACACCCTAACCCCTTAACTACCGGGTATAACTTAATAACCCTTAAAGCAGCAGGTTTTCGGATCCCCACGTGAACCCCTCAACCCCAAGTCTTCAGGCACGAAAGGTTTCAGGGATCAGAGGGGAAGCAGGCAAAGAGCATCACGGATTTTAGGGTTTAGGGCTAGGGCCTAAAGGGTTTGGGGAATACTCTGTACAAATTTCAAGGCTTCTATGCTTACTATGTTACTAGGGTTTCAAGACTATTCTACAGCTTGGGGTGGGTATATGAATGGACGGAGGGGGCGCATGTAGTTGAGGCTGTTGATTCGTGTTTTTACTCTAGTTCTACGTATGTCTTGTACCATAAACGTCTTGCCTACGCTTACATGTTGCCTCAAGTGTACAGAAGGATTCGTGCGTTTTGCCGGTAACAGTAGGTTATCAGCCGTAGCTTTCTAGTGCAATGGATGCCAGTGCTGGCCGAAATCCTGCAGGTACATCGATACC